ACCATTATTGTCTCTCTCTGCCCTCTACAGGAAGCAGGGGATAAAACAGACAAACTTTTTTTTTTTTTAACTTTTTTCCCCCTTTTTAAACTGTCATGAAGGACTCAGTTTTATTTTTGTCAAAGAAAACGATTGCATCACAAAGATTAATTTTCTCACATTCCGTATTGACTAGATTAATTTTTCTTTTGTCTATTTTATTTGAATGGGAAATGGTTTATGTACAATGGGGGGCTTGTGAGAAGAGCTAGTCCTCTTCTCAGTTTAAAAAAAAAAAAAAAAGGTCTGTTGTGAAGCATCTGATTTGCACTCTGTAGTGGGAAGAATTAATGTAGAACCTTTTCCTTTTGATGTGTGTGAGCAGCTTCTTCTGTCCGACTGTAAAATGCATTTAATTATTGTATATTCAGACACAAAAAATGCTACTATGTTCTTCTATATTTGAACATGAGACCGCCGCTTCCATGACCACAATCCTGAAACACTACGTTGTACCAGTCGTGTCCCCGCACACACACACACACTTCAGGGCTGTTTCTTGAAGAAAACCCAAGAGAGTATTTTACATACGATTTACAGGAAAGTTTGATTCTTTCCAGCAAAGCCTATGCAGGACTCTCCATACAAATTTGCATTCAGATGACATTTCCATGTGCTTTAAATACTGCTCTAATGTGGGAACATTCCACCTCAGGAGGGACTGCAGACCTGTTTGTGTTTGAACTAACATGCCCAATGCCCCCTCTTTATGCTGCGGTTTGTTTCTGATGGATATCATTTTCGGTCACTGTTATTGAGTGTGCAAGAGAGATTTTTCAAACTTTGTTCTCCTCTTGTACTGTTGAGGGTTGCCTTTTAACATTTTTCAGTTGACCCGCTCATCCAATTCAGAAACAATATCACAGGACTCGTGGTAATTTGAAGTTTTTATCAAAGGCTTGCGTGTATACAGGAAATCAATCATTAACTCCTTTGAACTTATATTCTTATCTAAATTACATTAGATTTTGTGCACTTAAGATACTTGATTGTGCATAATCAGGATCATAATGAATGAAACAGCGGTTTTGTTTTCCACTTAAAAATAAAGGCTTCTTGTTTGTCAAGAACAGTCTGATTGTGTGTTGCATGTACAGTCATGTGCAGGAGATGAACACAGTAGAGGTGCGGGTCACATTTGCTTTCCGTCCAATTTGCTGCACATTCAGCACCAAAAAAGGGAAGTGATGTTATGGTTCTAGTAAGAATGATAGATACTGAGCAGAGTGATCATAGGCTGTAAAGTGTATGAAAGAGATGCTGTAGTTTGTAGTGTAATGTAATATTGTCCAAACCTATGTGATATCGCTCCAAGAATAATGACTTCTCCATTTCCAAACAGTGTATCAGTGTTTCTATTGTCTATTATAACGTGTTCCAGTTACTTTGTCTTCTTTGGGTAATGTCTGCTATCTTAACATGCTCAGATCAGTTCAGCACTATATGATTAGCGTAAAACAGTAGGATATAGTACTAGCACCCTCTGATGGTAAACAGAGGGGGCTAGTAGTAAAGCAGACAGTACAAAGATCAGAATATGGATATATCTCACTTTAAAACAACTTGAAGATTGTGACTTAATCTTTCAGAAAATTAAAGTAAGTGCACACAATAAGATGATGTGGATTTGATAACTGATAAAGTGGATGAATGATTCCTACTTGCAATTATTTCAGAAAGAGATATTTAAGATATTTCAAGGGTTTATAATAAAAATCTAAATATCAGTTGCATTACAATATTACATTCATGTAACCAGCTCACTGCTGCACTGCAAAATCCCATCAGACCAAACTGCCCACTGCAGTGACCTCCACGGTTTTCCAAAGTATTAAATACGGTACAGTATGAAAATAAAAGTTGTAAAGGATATTTTTTATTAAGAATGCATTTTGTGAGATTCTAAAGATATTTTTCTCAATTTATTTCTTAAGAGAACATCATTTGGGGCAATAGTCAGTACAGACCTTTTTCACAGCAAGACAAACATTGGTGTAATCAAAACAGTAATACCTGCATGCCATTCCTTTTAACCAATTCCAAGGCACTGCTATTCTGCACGCTGGCTCAGCGGCACGCCTTACTTGGACGCTTAACAGACCTACGCCATTGATGATGTTATTAGTAACATCTGTGTTTTTCCTGCAATGACGAGGTCTATTGTCACTGTGATTCTAATGACATCAACAATCATTTATTTGTTCCGAGCATCATGTTTCCAGATACAGGCCTTAGCATACAGTGTTTGGGGTTTTTCCCACTGACACAGAACATCAAGCCCTTCTCACTATTATTCAAGAGTCAGCTGATCGGTATGTGATAGGGCAAGAGCACAAAATCCCCACAACTGCACAAGAAAAAATCAAGTACTTAGCATACAACTGAGTCAATGTTGTATAAAAATATAAACTCATGGTAGGCCAACTTAGTTTACATTGTTTTAACAAAAAAAAAAAAATGAAAGCCGGAACTCTAATAGAGCTTCAAGTCCCCAGTGACACTGTCGACCAGATCAGCTGGGCCTGGACCGATACCCAGCACAGTGCGGGACCCTGGTGCAATTTGTGTCCTTCCTGCGTCCTGAATCAGGCTTACAGGAAGTCCCACTTCTTTGGCATGACCCAGAAGATTAATCAGAGTGTCCTCGTCGGGGGCCTTCACCACCACCTTGGGCTGGCCGCAGTACTCCCACTGTTTGAGTAGCTCAGGGTTCCTGCGCTGAACCTGTTTGTAAGCCGATACAGCGGCATGGCAGCACTGGGCAGCGACTTTCCCTTTGCCCATCTTCAGATCATTTCGGACCACTAGTATCATCTTGAACTCGCCTCCTTCTCCCATCACACTTGCTTCACCGGTGCCGTTCCCCATCGCTGCCATCAGGCTTTTTGATGTAGGGCCCAGGCGAGTCCGAAGGTGCCAACCGAGGAAGAGCCCACAGCCCAGTCCTGCTACCACACCCAAACCCAATGGACCATAGAGCAAATCCATGTTGTTAAACCTGCAAAAATGACAGGACGGAAGAAGTTACAGATCTACATATACGAGCTTACAGGGCAGGACGTTTAGGACAGCAGCGTCAACTTCACAGAATTAAAAACAGCATTTGACAAAAAGTCCAACCAGGCTGAAGCCTTTGATGATGTCACACTAAGCTATCCTCCCAGTTGTCATGGAAATGTGTTGGTTCAAATGTTAACTTCTGTGTACTTTAAGGACCTTTCCCGCGTGTCGGCTCAAAAAAGGAGTTAGAAATTCATTGTTGAACACGCCAGAACGACTTCTAAGTACATTTTTTGTTTATATATCAGTGTTGAGTAACTCCGTATACCTCTAACTGCTAACTGCTAACTTAACTTTAGATTTGAGGAACGAGCCTCGCTACCGTTAGCTTCCTGGCTAGAGGCTAGACCGCGCACGCTCCAAAAACAGCGCCTCGGTTCACTGGATCTCCCTTTACGAACAAACACAGTCCTGTTCGCACAGAGCCAGCCCGGTGCCGCTGCACCGACACACGGTGGATTACAGAGTTAACACCGGTCACATACCCGCTGGCTCGGTCTGTCTCTCGGCACGAACGAAGCGTCATCTACTTTCCCTTTGGGCGCTTGGTGATGACGTCACGACACCACAACTTTATTACTATTTTTTTTTTTAATTTCTTTTATTTGAACAGGGACAGTGCACAATAAATGCATAAACCCGTATATAACAAGGGAGATGCATTGCACGGTGTTTTAGCAAATTTGCTATTTGCCACCGTAGTCCATGGGCGGGTAAATGGAAATACAATAAATTAAAAACAGTTACTAAAATAACGTTGTGCAAATTTCAATTACAAAGTTATGAATACACATTTCCCACACATTATGGGAAAGGAATATGTTGTGTCAACAAAATTGGAAATATTCGCCTTAAATAAGATAGTAAAAGGAAAAAAAACTTTTTTTTGTTGCCTGACTGAAGAAATGACTGAATAGAAGAAGTCAGCCGCCAGGTAAGTCATACAGAAATGAGTTAGTATAGGTCCAGTGTCTAACATTTAGCAAGATATATTGGAAGAAATGGAATATGATATCTGTAAGTATGTTTTCATTAGTGTATAAATCATTGTGTTTTTGTTAGCCTACCTTAGAATGAGCAGTTTATCAACAGAGGGAGTGGGTCCTCTTCCACAAGTCCGCCATGTTGAACCGCCATGTTTCTACAGTAGCCCAGAACAGACAAACCAAACACTGGCTGTAGANNAACCAAACACTGGCTCTGGATAGGTGTGTTGGTTTAAGCTCTATGTTCAAATGTGACAGAGCAGTAACAGCTGTCCTCTAAGATAGATAGATAGATATAGTAACATAATATGTATGTAATAATCCAAGGACATTTTAAAACTAAAAATTCAATGCATCCAAGAACCTAACTTGATGCTGGTTTTAGATGAACACTGACACCCAGTAATTAATACACAACAGCCAAATAGTAAATAAATCAACAATTTAATTCAGTGAATAAACAGAAGTATTGCTATTTCACTTTTTCACCCAGGATTAAACCTATCATGTAATGTAATTAGTGCTTTATTTATTGTTTCATTATCAACAAAGAAGCTTTACAATTGTTACAAACATTATTTTATGTTTGATATATTGGTTGAATTATTATTATTATTATTA